GATTTTATTGAAAACATAAGAACAAGGGATTTTTTAAGGACAATTTTCCTATTACAGCTGTTTAAGGGTGCTGATCCGGCTCTATGGACCAAACTGTAGACGATGCTGTATAACTGTTGATGATGGTGCAAAACAAAGACGGATTTCTTCTATAGACGATTTATTGTATTTTCTTCTTACTGGCTACTTATTACTGCTTGACTATACTGCTTGACTGACTTGACTTGACTACTTGCTGAACTGCTTGACTGACTACAAATATTTACAAATTTGGCCCTACCCTTATTCTAAACTTAACATCTAACTTAGATACTAGTGACGCGCGGCGGCCGACCAATCACAGCGCGTTTAACGCCCGCGCGCCGGGTGGGGGAATCGCCCCCACCGTGCGGACGGCGCATACGCAGCCAATGGGCTCCCTGAGAATTCCGCAAATGTAGGCGCTGTGATTGGTCGTTCGATCTGTACATTTTTCGGCACGTGGCTGTCGTCAACAGTCTCCCCCCGGCGAAGGATCTCCGCAGCCTCCTCCGGTTGGCAGCCCCGTGCCCGTCGCGCAGCGCGTCCTCTCTCATCGTTCCGTGGAGAGTGCAGGTTCGACGACGATCAGCTTCGATGTCGGCCGCCGAAATGTTCCTCCTCTTGTCGTTATCTCCACGTTCCGAATCACGCCGTCAGGTCCAGGGTAGGTATTGGCTACGATGCCGCGTGGCCACGTGTTTCGAGGCAGAGTGTGGTCGGCTATGATAACCACGTCTCCGGTCCGTACTTCGCTGCTTCGTGGACGTTGTGGGTCGCGGCGTGGTACGGTTTGGGTCTTCAAGGGCGCGACCTTAGCTCTTGCCGCTATCAGGACTGTCTCGATGACATGGCCGGCTCCGTAATGCAATCTCCAATACGCCGCCGTTGCGTAGGCTTCTTCGCTGGCGTCGCAGAATATATGAAGTTCACGGCGACGCACTTCTCTCCCCCCGTTATAACTACGGGGTAGCCGTAGTTGGTCGATTGCTGGCAGGCTTGTCAACCATGCATCGAAGTCCTCGCTCAAGTCGGATGGAAGAGGGTCGTCCCAGCCGGTCTTGAGGCGCCATAGTTTTTGAAGAGTTATCTTCGCTGTGATTGTGAAGCAGCTGAGCAGTCCGAGCGGATCGTATATGCTCATCACCGTCGATAATGCTTCTCTTTTCGTCGGCGGGCGTTGTCGAGACTTCACTGGCAGTGGGACTCTAGGCAGGGCGGTGTTGAAGCCCAGCCGATCGGTATTTGCATCCCAATGCAGGCCCAATGTCTTCTCTGTGTCTCCAAACGTCGTAGTCCCGCTTTTGGCTCTACTATCCGGGCTCACGGCTTGTAGAAGCTTCCTGTTGTTACTGTTCCATCCCCTTAGGTGGAATCCAGCCTTCTGGTGCACTGCGTCGACTTGGGTGATGACTCCGTGGGCCTCTCTCGGATCATTGAAGCTGTCGACGAAGTCATCCATGTAGTGCGCTTCGGTGATTGCGCGCAGTGCTGCAGGGTGCGTCTCAGCATGCTGTCTCGCGTTGTGGTCCCTCACGCTGTGTGCGAGGAACGGTGAGCTCGATGCGCCGAAGATCATCGATGTCATCTTCAGCTTGCGCGGTGGTTCATTTTGCCTGCAGTCGCGCCACAGGAACATCTGTGCGGGTTGGTCCTCGCGGCGTATCTTGATCCGCAGGAACATTTCCTCGATGTCAGCTGTCACCGCGTATGCGCCCTCTCGGAACCGGAATAAAATGGTCTGCAGCGATCGTAGCAGATCCGGCCCTTCGAGTAGGTGATCGTTCAGGCTGACACCTCGAATTCTTGCTGCCGCGTCGAAAACCAGTCGCAGCTTCCCGGGCTTATTGGGATTCTTGACGGCGAAATGCGGCAGGTACCATGCGATGGGGCTTGCGTCCTCGGAGCCGTCGCAGGGTTCGGCGTATCCCTTTTTCACGAGGTTGTCGATCCTCCGCTGGTATTCTTCCATGTCGCGTGGATCTTTCTTCAGCTTGTTCTCCAGATTTGTGAGCCGGCGGAGTGCTGAGTCGTAACTCCGTGGCAGTTTGGCGTCGTCGTTTCGCCAAGGCAGGCCCACTTCGTATCTGCCGTCCTTGTGCTTCACGGTGCGTTCGAACGTGGAGACGGCACGCTTGTCCTCTTCGCGGACGTGTGATGCGTCGAGCGACACTCCGAGTGAGTCGATCCGGAAGTGTCTCGACACGAGTTCCTCGAGTCGGTCGTCTGATGCTTCGGTCGTGACGACATGTAGGATATCCTCGGTGCGGCGAAGCGATCTCGATGGCGCCGTCCCGTGGATTACCCATCCGAGTTCGGTTTTGGAGGCAGCTGGTTCCTTGGTTTTTCCCGACCGTAGCTCACGGGTCACTATGAGCTCCCAGTTGTCCGTCCCGATCAAAATGCGAGGCTTCGCATTCTTATATACGACTTCTCGCTCGTCGAGATCTCTTAGGTGTCGTAGCTTCATCGCCTCCGCCGGTATCGATTGCGGCGTGAGGTCCAGGCCCACCATGGTGCGAGCGTTGATTTTGAAGATCTGGTCACTGCGCGTTCCCTTTATTCCAATCTTCACTCGACGGCTCTGCACGGGACTTTGCTTCTTATTTATTCCTCGGACGTTGAGCTGTGCGGTCGGTCCGTCGGCGCCGATCTGTCGCGCCAGGTCGTCGTCTAATAAGGTGACCGTCGAGCCTTCGTCGAAGAGCGCGTAGGTGTCGCAGCTCCCACGTTTGCCCGTGATTGTCACGGGGCAAATCTTCAATTTGACGGCGCGGCTTGTCGTCGTGGCAGCCGTCGTCGTTTCGGTGGTGGCTGGTTCCGTTGCGGCCGCGTTTGAGTCGGTCGCGCTCGTAGCCACGTCGTTCGTCGTTCCACGCTCATCTGCGTGCAACAGTCGGTGATGCGGTCGCTTGCATCCGTTGATTCCGCAGAGCTTCTGTCGGCAGTTCAATCGACGGTGTCGGCCCACGATGCATTTGAAGCAAAGGCCCTCCTTCTTCACCAGCTCCCATCGGTCATCATACGTTAGCTGCTTGAACTTTGGGCAGCTAGGTAGTGTGTGGGCTTCCTGGCATGAAAGGCATCTGCGCTGCGGTGCTTCTTCGGTGGCGACGTACACCGTCTTCTTCTTAGCCTCCGGTCTGGGGGCGGGGCGAGGCGTTTCACGTGTTCGTTGCGATGTGGAGGGTGCGGTGAGGTTCGATACATAGTTGTATCGCATGCAGCGGTCAGCTTCTTTCATCAGGAACGATGAAAGTTTGAGTAGATCGGCGTTCGGGCCCGGCTGTGACTCGGCGAAGTTGCACCAACTCGATACAAGGTAACTTGGCATCTTGTCTAAGACTTCCCGGGTCAGCAGTGGGTTAAGCAGGTACTCTGGCTGCACGTTCCTCAGGACGGCCACGATGTTCTGTAGCTTTACCGCAAACATGTTAAGATCGTTCGCGGTAGGTCCAATCTTCGGCAGCTTCCGTAGATCGGCGAAAGCCATGTCCACTAGTCTTTCTGGCCTTCCGTAGCATTGCTCCAATGTTCGCATGATCTCGTCGGGGTGCGTCGCGGTGCTCAACAATGATGCGACGTTTTCCCGAGCTTCTCCACGTAGGCAGTTTCTTAGTCTTGCCATATTCTCTGTAGGTGTGAATTCGTACAGCCGCGTTGTTTCTCGCATCGCAGTCGCGAACTGTAGCCATTCCAGCGGTGAACCAGAGAATATCGGTAGATCCGATGCTTGACGCGGCGGCGGTCGTGACTTCACGAGGGTTTCGAGGACAGAGGCGAGTTGATCGATGCCTCTGCCTCGCGATGACGACCGTCTTCGTTCTTCCCTATCTGGGCGTCGCGTGTCGCGTTCAGGTGGCGGTTCAGCCACGGCGGTTCTCGAGAGCTCCCCCCGTTGTTGGTCGACGTTCGCGTCGTCGAGCCACTCGAACACTCGATCTTGCAATTTATTTGCCGGTTCTTCAGCTTCGGGTTCGCTCTCTGCTCCGTCTAGTGTTTCTAACTCGATATTGAGCGTCTTTTTTATGAGGTCCGCTTCAATTTCGAGTTCTCGGCGTCTTATGGCAGCCAGTCGTTCTTCTGCTTCGATGCGTAGCTTCCGGCGTGCCGCGTTGCTCGCTGCCGAGCGGGTCGAACGCGCGACGTGCACTCTCCTCGCCGGTTGCACCGATGACGTCATCGCAGATGTCGTTATGCCAGTAGTCGCCGCTGTGTCCGTTGGGTGTGCTGCGCGTTCGTCCGCTCCGCTCGGCGGCTGCGTAGTCACTGCCAAGGCGACGCGTGCTCCGGCAACGTCTGCCCCAGCGCGGTTCGCGTTAGGCGCTAGTTGCGAGACTTGCGGTGCGGTGCGTAGGCTCTCCCCGGCGTTACCCGTCTCGAGGCGTCCTCGTATGGTCGGTGTACTTGAGGGCGATCTCGGCGGCTGGTCGAAGACACGACGTTGGTTTTCTTCGTCTTGGCTTCTTGTAAGCACCATCTTGAATCACTGTTGGCTGGATCTCGGAGGTTCTATACGTGTTTAGATCCGGCTTCTCGAAGGACCAAACTATTGAGGGTGCTGATCCGGCTCTATGGACCAAACTGTAGACGATGCTGTATAACTGTTGATGATGGTGCAAAACAAAGACGGATTTCTTCTATAGACGATTTATTGTATTTTCTTCTTACTGGCTACTTATTACTGCTTGACTATACTGCTTGACTGACTTGACTTGACTACTTGCTGAACTGCTTGACTGACTACAAATATTTACAAATTTGGCCCTACCCTTATTCTAAACTTAACATCTAACTTAGATACTAGTGACGCGCGGCGGCCGACCAATCACAGCGCGTTTAACGCCCGCGCGCCGGGTGGGGGAATCGCCCCCACCGTGCGGACGGCGCATACGCAGCCAATGGGCTCCCTGAGAATTCCGCAAATGTAGGCGCTGTGATTGGTCGTTCGATCTGTACATTTTTCGGCACGTGGCTGTCGTCAACAGATATCTTACGACATTAATAAAATAATTTAATTACCAACAAGAAAAATAATAGAAATATGGAAAAGATGGACACAGACAACGTGACTTTTCGTTCACGGCAACGCGCAAACTCATTAGGAAATATAAGTAATACATCAATGTTCGAATCGACTAGACTATGTCATTCTCAAATATATCTTGATCACAGCTCTCCACATTTAGAAATGCAAGCAAGAATAGAAAAAATAGAAAATGAATTACTCTCGGCTAACAATGAAATAGTGGAATTGCTATTAGAAAACAAAACGCTTAAAAAGGAATTAGACAAATCAAATAAGATTAATCAATTGTATAAAAAAATCGAGTTTAATGAAGGAGTTGCAACTCTGACATCTAACAGAAAAAGGAAAATTCCTAAAATGTCATTAATAACAACTACTTCTCAAGAAATTCAAGACAGAATACCTAACAAAGCAATGAATAACAACACACAAGTAGAAATAATAGCCGAACTAAATAAGAAAAACTCTCAACTAACTACATTTCTAGAAGAAGAAAAGGAAAAAAACACAATTTTAAATGAAAACAGATCAACAGTAGTACAGAATAATAAAAATTGCAAATCCAAAAAATCATGTTCAAAGGGGTTAATAAAAACAAAAGGTGCAAAGCATAATAATATAAATAAATTAAACTTACAGAAAATTAGACAACTTAACAAAGCAAAAAAAGGTCTACAAAATCGATTAAAAATTATGGTTTCTAGAGAAAACAGAGTAAAACTGCAAATCCATGAGAAGAAACAGCTGAATGACATAAACACAGAGACAACGGCCACATACACTCACCATGGTAATAATTACATAGAAAAGCGGCGAGATAATAAAGTGATAATACTTTCCGATGACATTGGAAGAGGATTGTCCCTAAAACTGACAAATAGGACTAAATCTTATATAAAACTGATTACTGCAAACCATGAGCACATTATGACGCAGTATTGGATAACTTCGAAGAGAAAATAAAATGCCTGGAAAATGAAGATTATTATAATATTAATTAGCAAATATAATATGAAAAGCAAAAGCACTTGTCAAAAAACATATTTGGAATACTTAGATAGTATAATACGAAATCCTCAACGTAAATTTAAATTAATTATAAGTGGAATTTCTTATAATGGAATAAATGATCAAAATATATAAGATATTAAATGAGAAAATATAACAATTAGCTAGTGTTACTGAGAATGTGAAATATTTAGAATTAAATCTTCGGAAAAATCATTTATCAAAGAATAGTACTCTTTTTTTAAAGACATTTATAGCTGAGACTCTATTAATTAATTTAAATAATGGATATCAGTCATCTTCGAACCTCGTATTTATTAAATATACACAGGAGAGTGTAGAGTCTCAGTTAAATGTTTCTAATTTTCTAACAAATCAGCAACCACTTCCGAAACGCTGATACTTCATGCAAATGTTCAAAGCATACACAAGAATTTTTTGGATATTGAGTACTTACTAGAGAAAGAAAAATGTGACGTATTGTGTCTTACTGAAACATGGGCCAAGGACTATCAAATCTTAGATATGAATATAAATAATTACGTTCTGGCTTCATATTTTAATAGAATATTTTTCGATCATGGAGGTACCGCAATTTATGTAAAATGTGGTTTAAATTATAAGGTTCGTTAAGATCTTAACAAACTTTCTTTTGAAATGAATTGCGAACTGACAGCGATTGAATTAAGAAGTCCTAATATTGTTATTGTTTCTCTATACAGACCAGATAAGGATAACTCTCTTTTCTTTGATATTATTGCTAAGCTGTTACATATAATCTGTAGAGAACGAAAACAAATAGTCGTAGCTGGAGATATCAATTTAAAAGTATTAAAGAAAAACAAAAAAATACTTAAGCTCACTGATATACTTGGGAATTATAATTGTTATTGGTTAATAAATTCACCAACACGAACTCAAGGTAAAAGCTCGTCATGCATTGACAACTTTATTACAAACATTGATCTCTGTAAAGGATATGTATTAAATTGTAAGCTATCGGACCATAATGTTATAAAACTTGTCTTAGAATATAAGGATGACCCATTAATTAAACCAGTAACTTACGCTAGAAAAATAACTAAAAGTAATATAGATTATTTCCATTATTTATTTAATAAGGACTTCCTCATTCTAAGATCACAAATTCTTAATTGTGTAGACCCAAATTTAGGGATGGAAATTCTATTTGACGCAATAAGACATAATTACAATATGGCTTTTCCTAAAGTTAGAAGATTTTCAAAGAATACTTCGAAGAAATGGACAACGAAAGGCATAGAAATTTCAAAAAATAATTTGGAAAAACTACAAATGTTACAAGACCATGACCCAAATGTTGAAACACAAATAAAAATAAAAAAATATAAAAAGATATTAAAAAAGGTTATGATTGGGGCTAAAAAATACAATACTCTCATAGAATTCAAACTTCCAAGAACAAAATTAAAGAAACATGGAACATAGTTAGTGAACAAACACGTAGGAAAACCAGGGAAATAAAATTTAAGATTCCAAGGCTATTGCTGATTTATTTAATGTTTTTTTTTCTGAAATTGCACATATTTTGACTAACCACCTAGATACCGACGTTCAAAAATGTTTACAATATTTTGAAAATTGTACTAAACCATCCACATCAATTAAATTTGACCTTATTGATTATAAGGAACTATGGACTATCGTTAAAAAGATTAAACCTAAATTATCAACGGATATTTATGACATGAATACAAAAACTATAAAAAAACTAATACTTAAAAATCCTAAAATTATGCATTTGCTGCTTATAGTGTTTAATAGATGCTTAAAAAGCGGTGTATTTCCGGACTGTTTTAAAATTGGCAAAGTTATCCCGTTATACAAAAAAGGAAAATATTGTGCATTAAGTAATTATCGACCGATTTGCATTCTGCTAACATTATCAAAAATATTAGAGAATATAATAAAAAATAGAATTGTCAAGTATTTCGAGGAAAATCAACTTTTTGTTCTAACGCAATTTGGTTTCCGAATAAATAGGTCTACTGAGATGGCAATTAGAAAAGTCATTTATTTTGTTCTAGACTCTCTGGACGAGTCACAGAAATGCGCAAGTATTTTTTGTGACTTATCCAAAGCGTTTGATTGTCTTCGCCATAATAACCTTATTTCTAAACTTACATATTATGGTTTCGAGGATGTAGAATTAAATATGATGAAATCTTATTTAATCTTCAGATTTAAAAGACATTGATATAGGGGTGCCACAAGGCTCGATTTTAGGGCCAGTTCTATTTTTAATATATATAAATGACTTAGTAAACTCGGTCCCTGAGTGGGCATTCAACAGCTTATTTGCTGATGATACTCATCTCGGAATAAAGGACATGTCGCAAAATAAACTCGAGCAAAAAATTGAGATAGCTGTGGATATTCTGAAGGAATGGTTTCAGGCTAATGGCATATTACTGAATCCTAATAAAAGTACAATAATGCATTATCATGTTAGAAAACGGCTTTCTGAGAACGTACTTGTTACAGATAATACTTTTCTAGGTTATACCTTAGACCATACTATGAGCCACTCTTGTCATATAAACAAGCTATGCCAAAAAACTAGCCAGTGCAAACTACGCACTACAAAAACTGAAGCCCGTCACCAATAAAAAAACATTAATGACAGTGTATTATGCTTATGTGCACTCCCTATTAAGTTATGCGGTGACAGTCTGGGGAAATGCTTCTGATATAAATCGTGTACTAAAATGCCAAAAAAGGTCATTACGAATTATAAATGGTTTGCGCAAGCGTACGTCAGCCAAACCTTATTTTAAACAAAATAAAATAATGACAATTATTTCTTTATACATTTATAAATGTTTAATAGAAATACACCATGATCGGGATTCACATTTGAGAAAGATGGACATCCATAGCTATAATTTACGTAATAAGGAACGATTGTGTTTGCCTAAAACAAGATTGGCAAAGGTACAAAAACAAGGGATATATAATAAAATTATAATGTATAATAAACTTCCCCTCGGTATCAAAAACATGAATGACGACGAATTCGAAAGAACAATTAAATTTTTTTTTTATTCAGCATCCCTTATACTCCTTAAATGAATTTATGTCTATGCGTTTGGATGAATATTCATTCCTACATAAAGATGGGTGAGATACGAAATTGACTAGATCTCTATGGTAGATGACAAGATATAATAATCATCAATATGTTATGACATAAAATTATATATAACTTATGTTTGTATAATCTAATTTGTGATAATAGGTATAATTTAATTTAATTTGTAATGTTGTAATTTAATTGACTGTGATATAATTGATTATTAAGGACCGTAAAATAACCATTTTGACATTGTTAAGATACTTAATTTATTTGACATTCTTACTTACAATGATTTGACCTGCATGATTTAAACCTTTATTTTTAATTTAATATGCTTATTGTAAAAGACTTGCCGAGTGTAACCTTCTATGTTATATGGCCAATAAATTATTTGATTTGATTTGATTTGATTTGAAGGTGTTTCCTTAATGCCCTCGGGGCCGTCCACAGCCCAATGTCGCCGCTCAACAATCATCCTTGTAGCAGGGGCGGTAGAGCGGACATATAAGCAAGTGACAAATAAACTAGACGCAAAGCTCCAGGCATTATTTACATATATGACTAAAAATTTAGATTCGCTATAAGCAGCTCTCAGTGTTATCCCCTCCCCCCCTCCCCCCCCCCCTCCGTGCATTGAAGGCAGTGGGGACATTGAACTGATGATAATGAAACAAAATCATACCCCATATTACAAAATTTTATTTTACAGTTATAGAAAATTGGTTAAAATAAATAACTCCACATTTTCTTATTTCATCTTTTGATTTTGGCCAGCGAATGAAAAATGTTACAATTGGCAAGGTCCATTCGTTGACAAAAAATTTTACGTGTAAAAGTTTGAAATAAATATTAAATATGTTTGGGAAGTTGACGTCGCTACGTCACATTTAACATAACGTCTGTGGCAGGTATATGTTCTCGGAATTAATTTGAAATAAAATAATGTCTAGTTTTTTATTTTTCGATAATTTACACACAAATAGTTGCACGTGTTATGTTCAATGACAGCGATATTCATGAATGCTCGTACGTACAGTCAACCGCACACGAGGGTGAAATTTCTTCACTTTATTGCATTAATGGTAAAATTGAGAATCAATTGTGAAAATGTGACATATTGTGGTAGTCTGAAGTGCTGCTGTGTGTACATACAGCGGGATGTCAGCTCAAGCAAACTTTTGCAAGGACAAGGACAAATTTTTGCATTCTCTTTATATGACAGACTGAGTTTAATATCAATTGGGATGAAGTTTTGTACTATATTACGTTTAAATATTAAGAAACCATTTTAATGAACCAGCTGGTATTCTCCTCTTTCTGTCATGATGTTTCTTATTTTCTTACTTTGCGTTTCCGTCCATTTATTAATTCCACTCCCTATATCTATCACCTGTGTAGTCAGGTTGTCTTCTATCTCCATTAACTTCTTTATTATTGCTTCAGTATTCCTTATGGTTTCCGTCTGCCGGGTTTTTTTCTGTGAGTATTATTTGTTGGAATGTGTGTATTGTTCTATCCTTTTCCATTCTTTCCACTTATTACTTCTAGGCTTGGCATCCTCTCCTAGTTCCTTTTCAACATCTTTGTCATTTTTTCTCGCATGTCCTTCCGTAATGGATTTTGTAACTCCAGAAGTTGTAGAGCCTTTTATATCTTGTTTTTGACCACTGGTAATTCGGACCAAAACTTTTCCATTTCAGGCGTCCATACCTGCGCAGCATATCCTCTTTGTTCCCATGAGATCTCAAAGGAGAGATTGATTTCCATCCTCCAATAATTGTTGAAGTGTTTGCTGCCATAGCTATTTTTCTCGGTGAGAGGGTCAGTATGGGATCGATGGTACTCGACTGTCTCAGTGGTGCCTTTGGTGATCTAAACGTAATTACGAATTCTTTTGTATCAGGTGGAGCTGTTCCTGTTTACACTGTGGTGGCGAGCTCGGGGAGCGTTTCGACGTAAATCTCTTTTATCTCGTATATGTGTGTAATTTTTTGTTATATATCCAATTGATAGATTTTTGCCCTACCTTTTCTAGACTTAACCTAGGACGTGTCCCAACAGGGTACACAGTTAAAGTAAATAATTGTCAATAAAAATCGGTACTTTAGTTTATTGTCGCGACTCTATATAGAGTGGGGTTCCTAAGCACTCTTGTATTTAGTTTTTGGAATAAAAGTTTTGTATTTGTCAAAAAATTCTTGGTCTCTATGTAGAGCATCCCTCTCTACTTATTATACCCCTTATTTTTATATGACCCTTAGTGGAAATTCCGTTCCGATATGTCCAGTAGTTAAGGATTATTACTTTTTAAAATAATTAATTCATTTTTATTTGTTAACAAAACTCTATTAAAATTTTGAAAATTTCAAGAAATGAGCCTTATAACTAACTTACATCTATTGACAATTTTAACGAACATTCTAATTTTAATTAGTTTTTTTCTATCTAGTCCGGTTCTCTACGTAAAATTTATACTCCCTTAGGGTGCGGTACCAAAATATTTAATCTAATCTCTAAAGTCCTTTCGTGTTTGTGTTATATAACTATGCATGCATACTATATAAGTAGGTTTATATACATACTTATTATCACTGTAAAACATGTATATAAGGGGTTATAAGAATATATAAAGTTGTGTACTCGCAAACTTAATTATCAATAAAGAAGTATTTATGTTTTGAATTCACTTCTTCTCCTTCTGTATATTTTATTGGAGAAAATCTTGTACACATACTATTTATATCTATTTATAATATTCCTGAAACGGAGCATTTTTCAAATTCTGACAACAATAATTTCAACGCAATGTACAATTGAAAATAGGTACAGTAGACGATTGCTAGAAAAGTTTTGTCCTTTTGTTCCTTTAATTAAATATGTACAATTCAAATTCGAATTCAAATTCATACCTCTTCTCAATCGCAGCCCCAGCATGAATTCTCATCGACATCTTTAACGATAATCCAATTTACTTACTTAATAATTCACGTCCAGAGTCAACACTCAAATAGACAAAGAAAGTGTTTAGTCTTATGCAGTACAGTGATATGGAACCCTACAACTTATTCTTTGTGTTTCCGTAGATCGTTTCACATAATATTTTTAAGTATGCGGACGGTTGCGAGCGGCGACAGTTCGCTCGCGGTATCGCTGGCATTCACTGGCGCTATAGGAAGGTCGTTCTAGCTCATCAGTGTCCTCTGGATGCTGCGTCCTTATATTTCAAGGTGAGCTAAAGTCAAACAATGATAGGAGATCACATTAAATAGATCATTTGACCATAACCTTTTGTAGGTAACTGAAGAGGACCACACCGAAAAATGCCGAATGCCACGATGAACGGAATGAAAACCTCCGATGATGACATCGTGATCACGGGCATCTCTGGCCGCCTGCCCGAGTGCGACTCTATGCAGGAGTTCGCACAAAAGTTGTTCGATGGCGTCGATATGGTCACTGCCGACGACCGCCGTTGGCCGCAAGGTACAACACAACACGCACATTATATATAATGTACCCCTACAAGTTTATTATTGATTCGATATGGGTGCATAAAATGTTGTTCTTTTAAATTTAACTTTTTATCTTATATTACTTTATAGGACTTCATGGCCTACCAAAACGCAACGGAAAACTTAAGGAGTTGAAATATTTCGATGCCACGTTTTTCGGTGTTCACGCAAAACAGGCGCATAATATGGACCCTCAGGTGCGGATCCTACTGGAGACCACATACGAGGCGATAGTGGACGCGGGTTACGGGGCCGACGAGCTGCGCGGCTCCGACACCGGCGTCTATTCCGGCGGTGGCTTGTCCGAATCAGAAGAAGTGTGGAACGAGGACCCTGATAAAATAAACGGGTACGCCATCACCGGATGTTGCCGTTCGATGTTCCCGAATCGCATCTCGTACGTGTTCGATTTCAAGGGGCCCTCATACGCCGTCGACACTGCTTGTTCGAGTTCACTGGTGGCGATGGTACAAGCCTACAGGGACATTCAAGAGGGCCGCTGCGAGGCCGCCATCGTGACCGGCTCTAATTTATGTTTAAAACCGGCCACGTCCCTCAACTACCACCGGCTCAGCATGTTGTCGCCGGACGGACGCTGCGCCGCGTTCGACGAGAGCGGCACGGGCTACGTGCGCTCCGAGGGCATCGTGTCCGTATTTCTGCAGCGCAGAAGCGCCGCGCGCCGCGTCTACGCTACTATTCGTAATGGTCGTATAAACGCCGACGGCTACAAGCCAGAGGGCATCAATTATCCTTCGGGTAATATGCAACGCCGACTCGCTCAGATGACATTCGAAGAGGCCGGTCTGCGTCCACAGGATGTCACATATTTCGAAGCACACGGGACCGGTACGAAGGTGAGTATACTCTTCCTTCTCGATCGTTACCCGTTATTTTCTCGATAGTACAAAGTTGTCTATTTGTTTGATACTGCAGGCGGGAGATCCACAAGAGCTGAATGCGATAACGGAGCTGTTCTGCAAGAACCGCACGTCGCCCCTGTTGATCGGCTCCGTGAAGTCCAACATGGGGCACGGGGAGCGCACCTCCGGCCTCGCGTCCATCGCCAAGCTCGTAGTTGCGTTACAGCATGGCGTCATCCCCGCCAACTTACACTACAAATCGCCTAACACGGACATACCAGCACTATTAGATGGAAGATTAAAGGTAATTAATTTACTTTAAGTGCCAAGTCAAGACAAGACACCTTTATTCTGGGTTAATTTAATCAAATATACAATTGCATAGTTTGAAATAATACAACTACATTATATTCTTTCAATTAAATCTATTACTAGCCATGAGTTAATAAAAAATACACGACATCACATCTTTTAAGTTGGATATTACATTAAAAAAATACATCACCAAAACATTTCTAAACGAATTCGTCACAGAAAGAAGTATGTGAACGAGCTCACTACTGTTCGCCAGACAATAATTACTGTATCATTAAATCCAAACAAGGCCCGTGCACATGATATATCTGCAAAATCTTCTAAGGCGTCACTTTTCCGATAGGTACTAGTATATTACTATCCAGATTTGAAATATAATAGCTTTACCAGCAATTTTTTTGTGAAATGAGACATTTAAAAACTCTCCACTCACATTTGATAAAATAGGCATAGTTTACACAGATTACAGGAAACAGATAAGTCTATTGTTTTATTTTATAATAGACACACAAGATCTCGAAATACCTCAATCATTGCTTCACCATGGAGTCAATCTAATAAATAAGTAAACAAGTAATGGTTTTTTCCGTCGACTAATAAATATGATTTTAAAGCATATGTCAAACGCCTGGACTTCACTCGATGCATCGCTAAAGTCTATATATTTTATAACGCTTAACAATCAATTAGAATTTGGTAACAGCGTTAACTAAATATATTGAAATTAAAATATACATAATTGAATTATTACTTATTAAAAAAAATAGATAAATTCATCTGCAATTTGATGATATTATTAAAAAGGTTCACGTCAAATGATCTAACCTCAGTTGGTAGATTATTATAATATCAGAATGTTTGCCAAAATGGGATTGCTGCCATGCACCTTGTTTTTATTGAGTTCCCGATATTTCGGCGCTAATGCGAGCACCAATTATATCATGCTCGTCTGATAATTATTAATAATTTCTAAATAATCTAAATGAATAATTTGTAATTCGTAAATTGTACACATATAAATTAAACATGACGGGGACGGCCTTCAAGCGAGGAAAACATTTTTTAGAAAACAATAGCGACAACCTGAAACACGAAGGGAGCATAGGGCATCGTGCGCCAGGGCCGGAGTCAAGGCAAGTCAGCGACATAAAGCGCGAATATATATTCAGATATTCTCGTTGTTCGTCTATTACGCACGATGTCAATTATTTTCCGACAGCAAATTAATACAATTTTACCGAACTTATAAAAAGATATTTGTATATTTGCTCAGTAAATTAAGTTGTGTCTCGACGAAATAACTACTATCCTCTGTACGGATACCAAGAAACTTTCTAATTACATAACATGAGCTCAGTAAACATAAAACACTCTTTTATGAAAAACTTCAATTATACGTAAGCCTGCCCATCAGTTTGAGCTACTGTTTTCCAGGCCCGGATTCAGGTGGGGAGTGGGGAGGGAGGAGGGGAGGGGTGGCTCTTCATACACATTAGGAATATCCCTAAATGAAATAAAAGAAACAGTCATAGGAATACTGCAAAAATATGATGCTATAAAATCCCACTTGGTGTGAGAGGGGTATAGAGATAGGCCGCCAAACGAAGTTTCTGCCCCACCTCCCCATTAAAATTCTCAGTAGAATGTAGTGACGACCACTCATTAATTGTTATTATTACAGTCATAGAGATTTTGGATGAATGCAGCTGTTCCACGAACACAAACGTATCTAATACTAAGTATTAGAATCTTTGTCCTACCTACGCGGAACGGATTTTTGGGAACTCCACCCCGAAGAGGGTTATAGATTAATATGTGTTTATATGAAAATTCTTAACGTTTATATGAAAATTCTTTCCACTTTTCAAGGCAGGCGACAAGTCTGATCCCAGTAATTTAAGACCAATATAATAGTAAAGTAACTGAGAAAATTATTTATAATCAACTGCTTGCACACTTTGTACCCTGGATTGCAAAAAGAACGAACGAATCCATTCTCGACCAACTGAGGATCAGGACAAGATTATCCACCATCTGCTATCAGCGAGTACTGAGTTACATCGGTCATATCGCTAGAAGACAACCCGATAGCTTAGACAAGTTGGTAATTGTAGGGAAAATAGATGGCAAACGTAGACGAGGTCGTTCACCTACCACGTGGTCTGATCTTATAAAAATCGTAACTGGACTCAACGTACTAATTTAGAATTATCTTAAATTTATAAAATACTAGCTTTACGTCAGCCGCTTCACCCGCGTGGACCTGCATTATAATAACCTTCTTATTTAATCCTATTGAATCACCTATACATTGATATAAACCGCATTAAAATCCGTTGTGTGTCCCAACATACAGACAGCTGGAAGCGATAGAAGAACTAAATAGACTACAGTAAATTATTATTATTTATACTACAGTCTGTATCTGATTGCAGGTGGTGGACCGTAACACGCCGTGGGAGGGCGGTCTGGTGGCGGTGAACTCGTTCGGGTTCGGCGGCGCCAACGCGCACGTGATCCTGGAGGTGGAGCGCGGGGCGGGCGCGCGCGCGCTGGAGGCGACGTACGCGGTGCCGCGCCTCGTGCTGGCGTCCGGCCGCAGCGACGCCGCCGTGCGCGCGCTGCTGCAGCTCGCCGCCAACCATCCGCGCGACGCCGGCCTGCACGCGCTGCTCGACGCCGTGCATGCGCGCAACCAGCCCGGACACGCCCACCGCGGATACGCGCTGTTGGCGGACTACCAGGAGGAGGTCGAGGTGACCATCGCACGCTCTCTATCGTCGTCTACACCGAGCCGATCGTCTCCGACTCGACCCGCCCGTATTCACCCTCTCGCTCTCTTCGATCGCAGGATTTCGAGGGCGGCGAGCCGCGCCCGGTGTGGTTCGTGTTCTCGGGCATGGGCTCGCAGTGGGCGGGAATGGCGCGGACGCTGATGCACCTGCCCGTGTTCGCGCAGAGCATCGAACGTTCTGCCACTTTGCTGAAGGAGAATGTTGATTTAACTTATCTGCTCACAGAAGCCCCAGAAACTGCATTTGATAATGTCATCAACTCCGCAGTTTGTATCACCTCAGTACAGATAGCACTCGTAGATGTGTTGCGCTCAGTCGGTATACGGCCAGATGGCGTAATCGGACACTCCCTTGGCGAGTTAGGTGGGTTTTATTCATTTATTTCCTATCTATCTATACCTCCACGGCGTATCCCTTGCGGGGTAGGAAGAGAGGACCGAACGCCGCAAAGTATAATCTTTTCATACATTCTCACCGATTTCATTGTTTCTGACATCAACTTCTAACGGCACGTGATTGATTTGATCATGAAATGTGTGTAAGAAAACAACTAAATAATAAACAAAACTCCGTATAATTTATTACAAGGGTACAATTTACTTGAAAAGTAGGCTTTTCAATTAAAAATCTTCAATAGCTCAGAATTAACAATGTTTCGAACATGATGTCTCATGATTAAATTAGCTGTAAATTCACTCCACTTTAACCTTCAAGGAATGTATAGTTTTTTCCGTCCCCCTGTATAAATAATAATGAGTGTCGAACACAGGCTGCGCGTACGCGGATGAGACGCTAACAGCAGAGCAGACGATACTGATATCGTACTGCCGTGTACAGAGCATAGTGGATACGAAGCTGCCGCCGGGCGCCATGGCGGCGGTGGGGCTCAGCTGGGAGGAGTGCCTCGCCCGCTGCCCGCCAGACGTCTACCCGGCGTGCCATAACGGCGTGGACAGTGTCACGGTAAGTACGACAACGTATAACCAATGTGATGTCACTATTCACCCATAACAAACAAAACATGAATTTGCATGTTCAGTATAGATTGACTTCTCAAAAAAAAAACAATTACAACTTGCTCCTAAGTAGAGATTTACTGTAGATAAACGATAAACTCGTTATAACTATCGCTACAGCTTCTTCGAGTCGTGAACAAAAATAAAATAAAAATTGGGCAATTGATAAATCTATTTGCATTCGCTTCCGGTGAAAATATTAAAAGGTTTAATTTGCTTAGCAAAAAAGGTAGTCACGAAAAAATAAATGTGCGGTATCTATTGTCAGATATCGGGGCCTGTAGAGTCCGTGAAGGAGTTTGTGTCGAAGTTGTCTGAGGAGGGCGTGTTCGCGCGGCTGGTGAACAGCAGCGGCGTGGCGTTCCACAGCAGGTACGTGGCGCCGACGGTGCCGGCGCTGCGCAGGAGACTCGAGCGACTCATACCGCAGCCGCGGCCGCGCTCCCCGCGGTGGGTGTCCACCTCGCTCGCGCCCGACCAGTATCACACTAGCGTCGGTGAGATACACATGTATTTTATGCAAAGGGTTTTTATTCTCCGACTTCATAAAATAAGTTTATTAATTCGACCTGCAATTTCGTGGGCATGGTGTAAAATTCATATATTATTATATGTCTATATGTTTGTCCATAAATATTATAAATAATAACTATACGGATCTTTTACATAAAAGAAATGATAATATAAAGTCAATTGAACACTTAGATACATTTTTATTAATAAAACTAATAAATATATTTGATCAATTAAGCATTCACAATGCTATACTAGATATTCTTTATGAAAAATGTTTAAAAAATCCACGTTGTCTTTGATCATTTGTTTTTGATTGCAGCTAAACTTAGTGACGTAGAATATCACATCAATAATTTGCTTTCACCTGTACGATTCATCGAAGCATTGTCGGCGGTACCGGAACGAGCTATCGTCATAGAATTGGGGCCCCACGCGTTACTACAATCCGTATTGAAACGCGCGCTGCCTGCGCCGGCGGTTCACGTTCCATTGTTGCGGCGCGACCACCCCTACCCGCTGCGCCACCTGCTGCAGGCGCTGGGCCGCGCGTACGTGGCCGGCGCGCAGCCGCACGTGGCCGGCCTGTACCCGCGCGTGCCCTGGCCCGTGCCGCGCTGCACGCCCGGCCTCGCCTCCAGCGTGCGCTGGGACCACTCCATCGAGTGGGCGGTCGCCGACTGCTCCTCGACCTCCCGATCCGGTCAAAATATCATAGAAATCGACCTCTCCCGTGCTGAAGACTCGTTTTATGCAGGACATCAAATAGATGGTCGCATTTTATTTCCAGCTACCGGATATTTGGTGAGACATATCGGAATAAAGTGTTTTAATGAAAAGTTCGTTCATTAAGTACATACTTAATGTTTATTTTTTATATTTTCAGGTATTGGTATGGCGCACAGTGGCAAAACTTCATAATAAAACTATGGATGAAACGCCAATCATAATAGAAAATGCACATTTCAGACAAGCTACCATACTAAATCGAGAAACACCATTACGCTTTATGGTTACCATCCTAGAGGGCACTGGTGAATTCAATATTTGCGAAGGTGAATCTACTATAGTGACAGGACAAGTGCGACTTGCGGAAGATCAAGATATGGAATGTCTTATTTCAGATGATGACGAATATTCAGTATCAGAAGTTGATTCACTTTCTCTAGATGAAGAAGATATTTACAAAGGACTACGGTTGCGCGGCTACGAATACAGTGGCGTGTTTCGTGGCATACGTAGTGCAGATGATCTTGGCGAACGTGGCCACCTTACGTGGGCAGATAACTGGATTTCATTTATGGACACAATGTTGCAATTCGGGATACTACCACTGAACAGTCTGTACATACCGACTCGGATCAACCGTGTCACTATAAATCCATTGAGACACAAGAAAGCGCTCATTGAGGGAGATTCACTGTCTGTGCGTATGCAGCATGATATCAACATAGTAACATCCGGTGGTGTCGAGTTACGTGGTCTCAAGATGAGCCTGGCACGACGTCGCCGTAATGTACAAGCAGCACCTAAACTTGAACGATACCAATTTTGTCAATACGATAGCGTTCATTTGACAAACAACGAAACTCCTTCGAAAGAGGACGCACTTACAGTATGCCTACAAATCGCACTTCAGAACTACAATACGATGAAACTTAGAATTGTCGAAGCCGCCCTAGGAGATTCCGTTGAAACTCTACTTACGCCGCTCATTCTGAAAACTCTCGAAACCGAACCCGAAATACTAATAGAAGCGAGTGTAGCTGCTGGCGCGAATATATCGTTATTTACTGCTGCCTTGAAAAGATTCAAAGTGACAGTAACACGTAAAGATGCGCAAGCTGGACCACCGCACGAGATGTGCCAACTGGTGGTGGCGGCTAACTGTATATCGCAACACAGTGTTGAAACACTTTACCATCTTACCGCTGCGCTTGCTAATGACGGCATACTCCTGCTACAAGAGCCATGCCGGGCGCTTGACAAACTGGATGTGGCCAAGATATTGGTGCAGGCCGGCCTCGTATTGATCGCCCGTCAGATGACAGATAATTGTGAGTTGTTGCTGTTGCGACGTTCGGTTGCATTGCCTATTGAGCATTTGATCGTGGAAGTAGATACAGACGAGTCCTTTACGTGGGTAAACTCATTACAAAATGCACTTGAACGCGCAAACAAGACGCCATTACTAGTTTATGTAGTGGCGCGCACACTGGACTCGGGTATACTGGGACTGGGACAGTGCCTGCGCTTGGAGACAGAAGGAACTGTGCGCGTCTATTATCTGCCGGATGCGCAAGAGCCTTTTGATCCGAAGGCACCCGCCTATGCAGCACAGGTGCAAAAGGATCTCTTTTGCAACGTATTGCGGGCTGGCGTGTGGGGTGCCTATTGTCACCTGCCGCTTCTGAACGCTGGTGTGATGGTTCAAAAGGTGAAGTGCAGTACATACTATCTAGTGACAATTAACCGATACCACATAATGCTTACATTTACGTCACATGCACTTTCCTTAGGTGGAGCACGCATATGTGAACACGCTAACACGCGGTGACTTGTCTGCACTGCGCTGGATCGAGTCGCCGCTGCGTTTCGCGAATGAGTTGCCAGTCGCACCTGATGCCGAGCTGTGCCACGTGTACTGCGCGCCACTCAACTTTCGGGATATCATGTTGGCCACCGGCAAGCTGCCACCTGACGCATTGCCCGGGAACCTCGCGGAACAGGTATCAGTAACTATGTAAACTAAAAACTGTATGACTATATTTCTTTATTATTGCCAATTAATTTTACTATGTCAAATATTATAATTTAAAGTGATAAGTAATACCATCACGCAGGCCTTCCCTGTGGATAGAATCGAATAGGTGAAAATAGTAATTAATATACTTACATTTAATTTGAAAGACTGCATGAGTGACCTGTTTTTGAGATGACTGATTTTCAGTTATATAATTTTTTAAATTAATACTTATGTTGTCTTAAATCATAAATAAGTGATAATATACATATTTCTCACCAAAATTTTTTAAACAATAATACAAACATAACTGACAGCTGAAGGCTTTCAGCTGAAGGCTTTCAGCTGTCAGTATGTCAGCATATATTTTTGATTCCATTTCAGTATAAATGACAATTTATTCAAAATCATTGTAAACGCGTGTCTTAAAAAATGATATGTAGTACCTACTAAACAACACTCGTCATTACCTTAAATACACACATTAACAAAGTTCAAGACAAGACACTTTTATTGGCAGACCTTAATAACTTCAGGCATTCTCTATCAGTTAACCCGAGAGTTGTACGTTTTTACCCTACTGCACGACGCAAAGGAGGGTAATGTGTTTATTATTATCAGTCTATATATGTTTGTATGTATGTTTGAGACCAAATACGTAGTCCGATTTTGATGATTCTTACTTCAATCGATTCGTCTCAACCTTGCGAGTGTCACTAAAGACATGACAGTAATCAAAATTCACCACAGCGACTACCTGACGCCATATTGTCAAAATGAAAAAAGAAGCGATGAACTACGTACGTGGGATGTCGTTGAATAGGTATTTTAAAATCCTTTTATAATTTTTCATTTGAAATAATAGTTTAGCGATATATAACGATTTAAAGTTGTTTAACAAAACAATCATTCTCGCAAATTTTCTTACTTATTGATTTATGTTTAAACGATATACACACCAAAAAAAAAACAGTGAAAAAGCATGAAGAACAAATATTTTTGGTAAAAAATAAAAACATGTTGCTAAAGGTCAAGCATATGTAGTTTTGAGCCGAGTTAGGTCTCTAGAGGGACTAATCATCAGTAGTTTAGACCACCGCAAGTTACTTAATAATCCTCACGATATTAACTCTCTCAATGAAATAACTCGATTGCGAAATTTACCATCTTACAACGAAGTCTACGAATCGTAACTGAAAAGTATAAAAAAACATTAAAGAAAAAGAAAAACCCGACTGCGTAAAAACGAATTGTAAAAAATACATGAATAAATTAACTGAAATAAAAACTAAAAAGAAAGAAACAAGCCCAGTGGTTTAGAATTCTGTTAAGTAATACTAAATAACTACACAATTGAAATAGTTTTATAATCGATACACACATAAAACAAATCATAAATTCTAATGCAGAACAGAACGACTCATAGTCGGGGCCCATTCTAATTTTAATTAAAATATCATGAAAATTAAAATAAAATGTCCAAACAATAAAAGTTTGTTAATAAAGGACAAACTCTTCTTCTTCTAAAGGTGCCTCTCCAACTAGTGAAGGTTAGCGATTAGCATGTTCAGGTCCTTCCTGACTTTAGCTTGGCGGAACAGCTCAGCAGCGCTCGCTATCCCAGTCCACTCTCGGATGTTCCGCAACCACGACTTCTTCTTTCCTCCGGCCTTTCGCTTTCCCGCAACTTTGTCCATCATGATCAGCTGCAGGAGATCATATCTCTGATGTCTAAGAACATGGCCTTAATACGAGACTTTACGCCGTTTAACAGTTGCCATAAGCGTGCGTTTTTGGCCAATTCGTTGGAGAACTCGGATATTGGTCACCATCTCGGTCCAGCTTATAGAGAGCACACTCCTATAAGACCACATATCGAAAGCTTCTATGCGATTTCGTAGATCTTCTTTAAGGGTCCATGCCTCACATCTATGTAATACCACGGGCCAGATGTAACAATAGAGCAAACGAGTTCGTTGAGAGATGTTAATATTACGATTACAGAGGACTTTCTTCATCGAATTGAAGGCATTACGCGCTATTTCGGTCCGAGTTTTTATCTCTAACTCGCTGCTCCAATCCTCATTCAGCCAACTTGCCTGCCCAAATCTTTATATTTCTTGATCCTGTCTAGGTTTCGGCCGGATACCCTTATGCTGGCATTGCAGTCTGCTTTTCCGGAGATGACCATAAATTTCGTCTTCTTTAAGTTCATCGAAAGACTGGCTCCCTGACTGCATTCCTCTAATATATCATATTATATCATAGGAAGAGCTCGACCTATCTACATATGTCGACAAATACATCACGTGGAATAAAATAAAACCCTAAGGATATTTAAATAGAAAATAATTTACAGGACTGCATTCTGGGGCTGGAATTCAGCGGATACGCTGCGCACGGGCGACGCGTGATGGGTATGGTGGCAGCTCGCGCCTTGGCTACCACTGTGATGGCAGATTCTAACTTTCTATGGGACGTGCCCACGGCTTGGACATTAGAAGAAGCCGCCACTGTGCCAGTAGCATACGGGACTGCTTACTACGCGCTGTGCGTGCGCGGTCACATGCGACAAGGCGACGCTGTTCTTGTACACGCGGGCTCGGGTGGCGTAGGCCAGGCGGCTATCGCTATTGCACTGCACGCTGGATGCAATGTCTACACCACGGTCGGGACAGCCGAGAAGCGTGCCTTCTTACGGAAGCGATTTCCAGCACTGCCTGATGAGAACATTGGCAACTCACGCGATGCTAGTTTCGAGCAACTAGTATTACGTAGGACACACGGACGGGGCGTGGACCTCGTGCTGAACTCATTAGCTGATGACAAGCTCCATGCTTCTGTGCGGTGTCTAGCTGAAGGTGGTCGTTTTCTCGAAATCGGCAAGCTCGATCTCTCTAATAATACGCTATTAGTGAGTTGATGTTTATTTTAAATTGTGAGTGAATTTTCTTCTTTTCTACTACTAAGTTTAACTTTTCGATTGCGTTTTATCCCCAGGGCTTATCAATATTTCTTAAGAATACGACCTTCCATGGGATCCTCCTCGATGCATTGTTTGAGGCGAAAGGCGATAATATCGAGAAAGCGGCAGTGGTGCGCTGCATGAACGAGGGCCTCCGTTCTGGCGTCGTCCAGCCGCTGCCCTCTACTATCTTCAGCGATCAACAGCTGGAGCAGGCTTTCAGGTGCTTGTCTGTTCAACCACACCGTCGAATTAAACGTAAATAATAACATAAAAACTGGTCGTAGGTACATGGCCACCGGCAAGCACATCGGCAAGGTCGTGCTGCGCGTGCAGGAGGAGGAGAGCGGCAGCGCGAGGCCCGCCGGCAAGCTGGTGTCGGCCCTCCCGCGCACGTACATGCACCCCGGCAAGAGCTACGTGCTGGTGGGCGGGCTCGGCGGCTTCGGGCTGGAGCTGGGCTTCTGGCTGGCGGCGCGTGGCGCCCGCAATCTGGTGTTCGTGTCGCGGAGCGGGGTGCGCACCGGCTACCAGGCCTGGTGCGTCAAGCGGCTGCGGCAGGCCGGCGTGCGCGTGCTCGTGTCCACGGCCGACGTCACCGCGGCGGACGGCGCGCGGGCCCTCGTGCGGGAGGCCGCCGCGCTGGGCCCCGTCGGGGGCGTCTTCAACTTGGCCGCCGTCCTCCGCGACGCCTATCTCGAAAACCAGACTCCGGAAGATTTCCAGGTGGTCGCGAAGCCGAAGGTGGACGGTGAGTGGCCGGGCTCCGGGGCACCCGTTCGTCTCGCCCGGCCCCGGGATGACCGATCGACTCTTCTGTGCAGGTACGCGGATGCTGGACGCGGCGACCCGCGAACTGACCCCGGAGCTGGAGTACTTCGTGGCCTTCTCGTCGGTGTCGTGCGGCCGCGGCAACGCGGGCCAGGCCAACTACGGCTACGCGAACTCGGTCATGGAGCGGATCATGGAACAACGTAAAGCTGACGGTCTTCCTGGCCTCGCCGTGCAGTGGGGATCCATCGGTGAGTTCTACTGTCCAACTATCACTCGAAAGCTGTAATAATTATTCTATTCTATTTTTTATTGATGGCAAATAGAGCCGGTGTCGACTATTCTGCCAATGTCGGAAGTAGATTGGACAAGCAAGTATATTAATATGGACGCAAAGGATTCGTAAGCTGGAAACGAAGTGTCTATAATTGTATAAATCTTCGATTGATACAGTTGGACTTTTTGTGTTAGTACTGGACTGAAACAAACAAAAAATAAAAATACATAAATATTATAGTTGTTAGAACATAAAATATATACACATAACCACAATTACATAGAAGTCAGAGCTCATAATTTGATATTATTGTGACGGATGAAGGTCATCAACGCCACAAGTAGGTCTGGAGAGGGATATGTAAGGAGGGCGGGGACATTAATTGGGAGGGGAATTTTGAGTTTCGGGAGATGGCGATATAGATTTAAAGAAGGGACGTTGTTTGAGCACTGGAAAAATATGTGTTCCAAAGTACCTTCTTCTAAACCACACTCGCATAAGGAGGAGTCACGAATACGAATTTTTTCTAAGAAGACAGGAGTACAGCAGAACCCTAAGCGGATTCTGCATAGAACGGAAATGACTGGTTTGGACACTTTCTTGAAAGGGTAGAACCAAGGTTTAGGCTTAATGGTTGGTTGTACTGCGTAGTAGAACTTACCCTTCTTTTTACCAGTGGTATTCCACTGTTCCTGCCAAGCACTTTGAAGACTTGCTTTAGGCAGGTTAATTAGGTCGTGCCCCTGATTAAAATTATATGACAGGTCAGCTGTGGATGACGTACAAGCGTCTTTGGCCAAGGTATCAGCACACTCGTTACCTTTGATGCCACAATGACTAGGTATCCAAACTAGCTGGACTTCTTTTAGATTATTTTGACACGAAAGCAGGGATTTTTAATTTTTAAAATTAGGGGGCTGTGCAATTTACTTCTGAAGGGGTTTTGGACCAAAGCTTGTAAGCAGCTAAGGGAGTCTGTGAAAATTACGGCTTTGTCGATGTTATGCTGTGATTCTATAAAAAGACAAGTTTCTAGTAAAGCCACACATTCGCCCGTAAACACAGAAGACTCCTTGGGGCACTTAAA